GTACCGGGAACCGAACTCACGACCTTGCGCTTGCCAGGCAGGCGCTTTGCCGCTCGCCCGCTCTCTTGCAGTGCAGCTGCGAAGGCCTCGCTCTTCTGCGCGCCCTGCCTGTCCCGCGGCGCGGGCCTCTCACCAGCACAGGGTCCCTTACTCAGTCATGGGTAACCGTCTCCAGCATTTGGCGGGAGCGACAAACATTACACGTGTAATACATTCTGCAGTGCGCAGCTCTGGGAAGACCTTCGGCCCACTCTGAATCTGGCTGGAAAACGCCCCGGCTGGCTTTGTGGGTGGGACTGGTGCGGTTTCACGTTTGCCAGGGCTGTTCGTGCGCCGGGAGATGCTGGGCTTGGAACCTGCACAGGGGAAGCTGTGTCTGGCGGGGCTGACCTGGAGCACCAATCAGAACCGGCAGGGCTGGACCGAGAGGAACGGAGACTTCAAGGTCACGGCCCCCTGAGAACTTGTCTCCTGGTTCTCAACATGACCAGAGAAAAGCAAGCAAGTGCAAAAAGGGCAAATTCTTAAAACGTTTAACTTGGAACCAGGCACCATGGAGGTGCGATGCCTCAGGGCCCGGCGCCTGTGGATGTGTGTGCATTTAGAGACACACAGAAGCCAACAGAGCGGACACTCTCTGCCCCACGGAGGGGCTGGATGGCCACAGTCATAAGGGGGTGACAGAATCGGCGGGATCCAGGGTTGAAAACGGGTGGGTTTACTTTGTATTACTCCTTCCCTGGGTGGGGAAGGTGGGTCTGTGCAAAACCTTCTCGACACTGCATTTCTAAGCAGTCCGGTCTAGCCTCTGAGTCTGGACCTTCCTGATCAGAGAATCTTCCCTCCAGCCGGTTGCTCTGCCTTTTTCTCTCCAGATGTCTGGCGTCCGCCTTCTTCTCATCCTTCCTACTTACACTCCTTGTAGTCCGCGAACAAGTCTGGCAGCTGGCCGACTTGGGGAGGGGGCCTGCTTGTGCTGGGGCCACGGCGGCATCGGCATGAGTGGGTCCCCCAAGGATGGAGACAGGAGGAATGGGATGGGGGTGCGGGAGGAGGGTCTAACAGGAGAACCGCAATGCCCACTGGGGTAGAATTTATTTCCATTTTGTGATAGCGCTCAGCCGTGTCAGGATGCTTGAGAAGGAGCAGGAGACAGAGCTGGTGACAGAGACGGGCCTGGAAGACAGCTGTGTGTGGCAGCCGGGATGCCGCTGGATGCACTGCCCTGCTGGCAGATTCTGGGGCTGCCTGTGTCCTTTCTTGGCATGACACAAATCTGGGGTTTCACAAGGTTGGCACCCATGACACTCGTGACAGGCAGAGGGGAGAAGGATAGTATCAGACCCCAGGGTGTGGTGCCTGGGAATCCAGATGCGTAGCTGTTTTTTATTTTTTTGGTACCAGGAATCGAACTCAGGACCTTGCACTTGCCAGGCAGGCGCTTGTGCTGCTGAGCTACATCCTCAGCCCAAATGGCAGTGTTTTACTCAGGGACAAACCCAGGGCTGGGGTGAGAGCTGCTGTGCCCACCAAGGGACTGAGCAGGCTGGCATTGCCACATGGGTAAGAAGTCAGACGGCCCAGGGAAAGAGAAGCAGCAAGGCCACCTGCGGTGCTTCGCCATGCAGAACGAGCCTTCCCTGAGACGCCAGGCAGGTGGCTTCGTCCAGGCGCCAGCCTCACCGTCACGAAGCCCCGCCAGCCCTCTGCTCCCTCCACCCCACACGCAAAGCTCTTTCCCACGCACCCAGCACCTGCTCCTCCAGGAAAACAGGAAGAGAGACTTGGCAGCTTTTTGCTCAAAAATCCATTAGATTTTAAGTCCAAATCTTAGGTTTCATTTTTGCCTTTAATCTCTCGGACAACTCTAGTTTGTTTTCTGAGTCTGAGTTCACAGCTGTGCTATTCTCTGAGTCCTTTGAGAGATTACACAGGCACCAGGAGCTGTTGCTACTGACGTCATCCCCTTGAATCATCTTCCAGATGGACTGCTACAAAGACGTGGAAGGCACCATCTTCAACTACGAGGCCGTCACGCTCGCCGGGAAGGAGCGCGTCCAGTTCTCGAAGTACGCGGGCAAGCTCGTCCTCTTCGTCAACGTGGCCACCTACTGCGGCCTGACCGCTCAGTACCCTGGTAAGACTCAGGTCTGTGGGACTAAGTTCCGCAGCTGGTTATGCTCTGAATCACACCGGGAACTCTGTTCTAATTTAACAATGTGCCACAATACACACTCAGAGTTGAGTGACCTCACTCACTGATGTCAGATCAGCAAAATGCAGGCCACAGCCCGAAGGGGCCCGCCTGGCTTCACACACAGTGGACGGGCCCGGACGCTCGCGTGCTTCGCATATCTGAAAATAAGAACTTCTGTGTTTTTCATCATGTTGTGTTTGGCAGAAGTAATGTATTCACGGGCTCAAAATGCAGAAGAACAAAAAGACTTGGGGTGAAAAATCTTCCTGCCTCCTGACTTCCCTTACTGCAACCACTGCCATCATGGTCACAAAACCTCACTCTTTCTTCCTGCTTTCCCCTAGTGTGTAACATACTGCAAATACGATTTGCTCTCGTTTTCAAATGGGGACTTTTGAGTTCAGTCTGTCTCCTCATTTTAAGGACTGAGTCACACTCACTGGCCTGTACTTGTCTTACCACCCGGGGCGGTGCTCAGGTCCCCGTGTCGCACCGCAGGTGGGGAGCCCAGGCTGGGCCCCCAGCTCCGTCCCTGTCTGCAGGGAGGGCTGGTCCGCAGGGCCCAGGACAGGAGGGGGCTCGGGTTCGGAGGCTCCAAGGACCACGCGGAAACTGGAAAGCAGGCTCTAAGGTTCACAGAGGACTAAGCAGAGGCGCCAGCCGCCTGGACCGAGGCTGTGCGCCTGGCGGGTGACCGAGCAGGCCGCGTCCGTGCTAGACTTCCTGGCAGGAGGGCAGGGGGCTGAGGCTGCTGCTCTGCTTGGCTCATGGCCGAGGACTTCCAAGTGCAAGCAGCTCTGAGGAACGCAGGGCCCCAGCTGAGGCCCTGGCTTCTCCCCGGCTGCGCTCTGTGCGGTGTGCCCATGCCCGCGTCTCCTCCTCTAGGAAAGCGAGGCCCAGTCTACCGCACAAACAAGCCAGGGCGAATGCCAAGCAGCGAGGGTCAGCCTGGCTCTGCCCACAGCCTGGCTCTGTCCCGGGCTGGGGGACAGGACGCCCGGGCCTGTCCTGGAGGAAGGGGCAGAGCCTCTCTGTCATGGGGCCTGGGCGTCCTGCCCCCCACCCCGGGAGGGGCCCCGCTGACTGCATGAGTGGGAGACTCAGCTGGGGGCAGGGGCCAGCGCAGACCCAGACAGCCGGAGTTGCACCACATGCGCAGGCTCTGGCCCTCCCGGGGCCTCCGTCCTCGGCGGAGCGATGCGGGGCTGACTCCCCACACGGAGCAGGGTCTCTGAGCCGGGCTGTCACCTGTGCTTCCCGCGGCAGAGCTGAACGCCCTCCAGGAGGAGCTGCAGCCCTCTGGCCTGGTGGTGCTGGGCTTTCCCTGCAACCAGTTTGGAAAGCAGGAACCGGGGGAGAACAGCGAGATCCTTCCTGCGCTCAAGTGAGTGCCTCCCGAGTGCCCCCCCGTCCCCAGAGCCCCGTGGCGGTGGACCCATGGGCCGGGGCAGCTCGAGCTGAGCTCAGCCCTGGCCTGCCTCGGTGGGAGCCCGCAGTGTCCAGAGCCGCTGCGCCCTGGCTGCGCGGCCTGGCGGACCCAGGAGGGCCGTGCAAGGCCAGGACAAGGAGAGGGCAGGCGGTGGGGCATGGAAAGGGAAAGGGAGTGGGGGGCGAGGTCCACGGCAGCCCAGCCCACCCACGCTTTGCCCACGGCTCTCTCCTGCCCCCGCCCGGGCTTCTGCGATGTGGTGCTGCAGGCACGTCCGGCCAGGGGGCGGATTCGTCCCCAACTTCCAGCTCTTTGAGAAAGGGGATGTGAATGGTGAAAAGGAACAGAAGGTCTTCACCTTCCTGAAGGTGAGTGACTCACTCGCACAGGCCTCCTTTGCCCGAATGTTCTTAGCACAGAGGGAAACGGCCCAGACCAACAGGGGCGGCGTAGGGGGCAGAGCCTGGGGAGGAAACCTGCAGCTCCGCGCGGGGCCCTCGGGGGTCCTGGAGCCCAAGGCTGAGTGGTGACAGCAGAGGGCCGGGCAGTGCTCAGGACAGCTCTGGGGCAGCCGGGCAGGGACAGCACGATGTCGGAGGCACTGGCCCGAGCCCTGATGTGTGGACTCAAGAAAGCCAGGGCTGGAAGGACCCTGCAGGTCACCAGCGGAAGTGCTCCTGAGAACAGGACTGCACAGAGAGCAGGCCATGTTAAGGGACGCACCTGCAGTAACCTGGAGGAAGCAGAGCCCTCTAGCGAGGGCTTCCTAAACAAACTCCTGCGTTATCCAGAGGTTATGGGTGGCTTGTCCTTTACTCTTAGGATGTGCTCTTTAATGTGAATTGATGAAACGATGGTGTTTAATATTTTTCTTATTGGCCCCAAATGATACTGAAACGCTCCTGGCTCACCCAACCCTCAGGCCAGGGTCGCCACCTTCTACCTAAATCGTTCTCTTTGCGAAAAGTAAATGGAGGGGCTGCAGCGCCACTCCTTTCGCCGCGGAGGCTGGATGTGCACCAGCCCGGGCCGGGGACAGCAGCAGGGAGCGCACCCCGCTAGGGCACCCGCTGCGCTCTTGCAAGCCGGCGTGAGGGTGATCGGGAGAACTTGCCGGATTCCGAGGGGTCACCGGGGCCGGGGCGGGGGCGCCGCTGCGGAAATGCCCTGGGGCATCTGGCGCAGGGGTGACTGCTTCTCTCTGTCGGCTTCAGCGCGCCTGTCCTCACCCCTCTGAGCTTCTGGGCTCCTCCAAACGTATCTCCTGGGACCCCGTCCGCGTCCACGACGTCCGCTGGAACTTCGAGAAGTTCCTGGTGGGGCCGGACGGGGTCCCCGTCATGCGCTGGTTCCACCAGACTCCGGTCAGCGTGGTGAGGTCGGACGTCCTCGCCTACCTGAAGCAGCTCCAGGGGAACCAGGGCGGCTGAGGTGGGGCGGAGGGCGCCTGCTCCTCACCTGCTGCCCTGCCCCGGGAACGCTGTCTTCCCGCCAGCCGCCCGCCTGACCGTGCCCCCTCGGCGCGGCCGCTCCCCTCCCGACGCCCGCGGAGTTCAGTCTGCAAGGCTGCTGCCACTGCCCCTTGGAGCGCGCGTCCGCAGACGCCCCTGACCTGGCCCTTCCCGCCCGCCCCTCCCGAGAAGGGCCTCTTCCGGCGCCGACCCTCCCCGGGCAGCCCGTCCGGCCTCCTAGCCCCGCGGGCCGCGTGCTCCGCGTCCCTGGGCGCCGCGTGCCCGCGCTGCCACTCCCTGCAGGGCGGGCGGCGCCGCGCACCCCGACCCTCTGGCCTCCAAAGCCTCCTGTGCCGCCTGCTCCGGGGCGCCCCGGGCTTGGCCTCCGGGTGGTCTTCTGCAGGACGAGAGCCCCTCTCAGCCCAGTCCTCCGCCCACAGCCCCCTCCATCTCCAATAAAATGTTTCCGCAGCATCAGCTCTCGGCGCTTTTCCACCCCGTCTCGGCGCCCGGTCTCTCCGCTGAGCTCACTCCCCGCCCATGCCCAGCCGGCCACAGCCTCCCGCGTGGGCGCCTGGAGGTCCCAGGGCTTCCGCTGCTGCCCGGGGCCCGCCTGCCCCTGCCGGGAGCTCAGCCCTTCTGGTCTGGGAGGGCAGGCAGAGCCCTTGGCACTGACTCTGCCGGCCTAGCCCCCGGCCGCGCCCCTTCTTGCTGGACGCTCCACCCTGGTGCGCGAGCACCGCGTTCAGGGTGCACACGAGGGCAGCCCGCCCACGGAGGTCCTGAGGCAGCACCTAGCAGACGTCCTCCACCCAGGGGACCCCGCTGAGACGGTGGGGCCAGCAAACACCCGGGAGAAAAGGCTGGGAGCGGGAGCGTGAAGCTGGCGGCCCCCTGGCCGGCGCGGACAGGCGGGGTGCACAGCGCAGAGCAGGAGCTGGGCTCCCTCTGCAGAGAACGGCCAGGGGTGTGCTGGCGGCTGACGCACCACGAGGGGTGAGGGGCCAAGGGCTGGGAAGCGCAGGGGGAGCAGCCAGAAGCCACAGCTCCGCAGGAGGAGCCTGGTGCTTCTGAGAGACAAGGGCAGGCCGCAGTGCATGGGATCCTGCAGAGAACGTCTCACCTCCGGCCCGCAAGGCACCAAGAGCTGCAACCCAGGCCCAGACCCGACTGCAGCAACTGGGGATTCCAAAGCACACTCCCACACCCAGCTGCCTTCTGTGCCAGAGTCGTGGCACTGACGGGCAGTGGGCAGGACGCAGAGGCCCTGGCCAGGGACATCTGGCTTAAAGCAAGGGAACTTGGAAGTCTGCGGATTTTCAGGACCCCGAGACTTTGAGAGGCACCTACCCCAGCTTTCTAAGGCTGAGCAGGCCCTTCCTGCTTGAGAACAGTGTGGAGGGCACACTCACCGCAGCACCCCGCCCACAGGGGGCGGAACTCCTGGCTCCTAAACCAGGAGGCTGAAGTGGGAAAAGCAGAGCTCACTGACGGCTCCGAAGCGGGAGCCCGAGCTAGCGGGCGATGAGGCACCCAGCGGGCATGGGATGGCTCTGCCTGTCTGTCACACAGAAGCCCACGAAAGCCCGGTGTGGAGCCAGAGAACAGGGTAAGGAGCCAGAGCCCAAAACCACGCAGTCAGAGCAGTCCCTATGCCCTGGGCCACTACTGACCGGGGTCACCCAAGCCCAAAGGACACCCAGGCTGAACACACGCAGAGGACCGTGCTGGCGAGCGGGGTCGCTTTCTTCACATAGTTCAACACTCTTAACAAAAATGTTCAAAACTCTGATCTTTTATCTGTTAATGTTGACAGAAAAAAACCTGAAATGAAAAAACAAAAAATGTTGGACAAATATGAACGGATCTCTCCAGATGTGAGACTTCAGAAATTTTTCATTTCAGAAATGCCTTGGTTTTTTTTGTTGTTGTTGTTTTATTTGGTTTTTGTTTTTTGAGAGAGTTTCACTATGTAGTGCAAGCTGGGCATGGTGGAGCACACCTGTAATCCCAGCACTCGGGAGGCTGAGGCAGGAGGATCATTACAAATTTGAGACCAGCCTGGGCTACAAAGTGAGCTCAAGGCCAGCCTGAACTGCACAGTGAGACCCTGTCTCAAAAAAACAAACAAACAAAAACCCCACAAAAACAAACAAAAAATTATGTAGTGCAGGTTGGCTTTGAACTCGGGAGTGATCCTCCTGCCTCAGCCTCCCCAGTCCTGGGATGACAGGTCTGCGCCACCATGCCTGGTGTTGTATCTACATCCTTTTTGGTTTTTTCCTTTCTTCTGTTCAGTATCGTTGTTCTGGGGTGCCAGGGGTCTCAGACAGTGGTTGTGTGGAAGGCAGGCCGATGTCTTCCAGCATCTCGGGGCAGGGCAGTGCTTTGCACTCCCTGGTGAAACCCGTGAGCGCTGCATTGGGTCAGCTGGGGGATCTTCGAGCGAGCCTGGTGTCCCGGCCCCCACTCCGGCCAGGCTCGTCCCACACCACCGGGTGCCTTCCCGTGTTCTCCACACCAAGGCAGGTTGAGGGAAGCCCTCCCGGCCGCGCTGTGCGCTCCCGGTTCCCCGAAGCGCTGAGCAAGTCCTGGATGCTTGGGGGCCTGGAGGACCCGCGCTGGGCACCCATGCCTGGGCCCTGCAAGGACCGACGCAGCGACCGGGAAGTCAGGGTGGAGCGCACTCAGAAACTAAAACTAGAGTCCGCTCAGTCCAGCTGTTCCCCTCCTGGGGATTTCCCGGAAGAATTAAGGTCACACACGACGGCCACCCACGCACCCCCGTGTTCACAGCAGCTAGACTCCTAACAGCACGCCTGCCTGTCCCCCGCATTTGAGCCGGAAGGGAAAAGGAGGTGCTTATACAGCGGGGGACTACTCTGTCGTAAGGAAGGGTGTAATAAGCACACGGCTTCTCGCAGAGAACCCCAAAATAAATCACCAAGCTTTCTCCCATCGAATAGGGAGCATAACCGTCCATCACATATAGAAACTGATTCCTTTTCTATTGTCTCCTGGTAAGGTTTTTTTTCCAACCCAGCCAGCGAGCCACAAACATCCCCAGGAAGGTGGAGAGCACACAGTCCCCCGAGGGTATGAGCAGCTGGGCACGACCTGTCAATAATGGGGATCCAAGAAACATGCAAAGAGCAGGGCCCAAAGCCCTCGAACTGGGACCAAACAGGGAACCCTAGCTTCCACCTCCCTTGAGAAATCAAGCAGGTTTTTGACAGGATGGCCTGGACCTGGTGTCAGCCTGACAAGATACAAAAGACAGCTGCCGTTAAGCTCTTGGTCACCGTGCTCTTTAACAGAGGTCCTCTCTCACCCTGTTCAGTACACTTCTACTTTTAACTGACACATAATTGCTCTCCAGAGCATTTTTCCCTACCCTTTTAAAATATAGAACCTCACAAAAAATTAAAACTTGGAAATAATATTTATTTAACAAAACATATGGTAAATGTCACATACAAAAATGGGACACATTGGCCGGGCGCGGTGGTGCACACCTGTAATCCCAGCACTCGGGAGGCTGAGGCAGGAGGATTGTTGTGAGTTCGAGATCAGCCTGGGTTACAAAGTGAGCTCAAGGCCAGCCTGAACTGCACAGCGAGAACCTGTCTCAAAAAGACAAAAAAAGGAAAAGAAAATAGGACACATGATACATTTTGGGTTGGAGGAATTAAATCACTTTCTACATCCAGTCACCATTTTCAGTTTTTTAATTTTTAGAAAAGTTGTAAGTTTTTATTAAAATGCAAACAAACCCAATCCAACCAAGGTTTCAAGATGGTTAAAGTTTCCTTCACTTCCAAGGCAAAAGGATAAATCTTCAGTGACATTTTGTATCTTTCTTCAAGTTACAATGTCACATTTCTATGAAAATAAGAACTTACTGTAAATTGCCCCCAATGAGGAAAAATGTTGTTTTCTTCAAGGATCCTGGCATCATTTACCCTAAAGACGCTGCCTTGTGCTGTTTTCAGTCACCCTAACAACGGCACCGACATAGGGCAGGTATGTGTGACGGTCTTCTGATTCACCTCTGAACCATAACAGCGGTTGTTAAATCTCCCTGAGATGCTCATAATACCTGTGTCTTAAGCGCTTCGGAAGCAATCTGCTATAGCTAAGTCCAAAAACCTTCTGATATGAGCTTGTTACCATGGCACAGTCTCCCACCCTTAGGAAATCAGAATTTACCAGTATGAGCCCAGAGCTTCAACACAATTACACCTTACTATTTACACAATGTGTAACCAGGTATCTACAAAACAAACCTGACCCCAACTTCCAGCTTCCAACCTAACACAACGGATCAGCTGAACAAACTTCACATCCTACAGACCCCTGCACGGCATCTGAGTCCTAATGCTGCCCCCTGGATGCACTCCTCTGCACTGACCTTGTCTACCCTTTCAACCTGGAAGCTGTCCTACAGTCTCAACCTGCTCATGTATGTAACAGTAAAGAAGTCATACAAAACACATGGAGTTTTTAATATTAGTCAACAAATAAAAAAGTAGGCTTCAATAAATATAACAGGAAAATTATAAAAATTGGATAAATTCCTGAATGTTTACAAATAGGCCATTTATAAAGAACTGCTATTTTACCCATAACTTTTCGTATTTCTACAACAGTAACTGAACAGTAAGCCTAAAGTGAAATTCCTCACACCAAAGGCCTAAACGCATACGTTGCACGACCACTTTACATACCTATAATGTGATAAGTGAGCTTGCTTCTTGCTGGTTAGTTTGTCTATTCGAGGTTGGATCGATGACAATGCTACTCTCACAGGATAATGTATATTTAAGTTATTTCTGTGCTTTGTTTTAAGAACACTGAAAGTAGAGAAACCTGTCTCACACAGGCATGTTGAAGGGAGTAAAAGAAGAGATTTTAAAGCAATCTCAGCAAGTTCAGGATACTCATTTTTAACTTTTATCCAAAATGAAGCAAAGGATGCTGTATTTTCAAATTTTATTTTCAGCCTTTCATCAGAAGCTAGCTCCAACAACTTATCTGCAGGGCTACAGTTAAATTCAAATTATCTTTTGATGACAGAAATGGGTTTTGGATCCACAGATTTCCTACACGTGGATCTTCTTTTGATGGAAAATAAAATTCAAGACATTCTAACAAGTTTGTAAGATGTTCACTGACAACTTTCCACAGATGTGCACTATCAAGACGATCGGCTTCACTAACGATTGCTGTTAAATTGTGGAACGTGTCACAACAATCTTCAGAAACTGTTTTTCCAACTTTCTAACTTTTGTTTTTGTCCTTCAATCTCGTCTGCCACTGAAAAACATGTTGCATTTTTTCCTTGCACAGAAGCATTAAGGTCATGAAAAATACTAAAGATATCAGACAAATAAGCATGTCTGGATATCCAATTCACATTTTTAAAAAGTTGAGACCAAACAGGTTTCTTGCCTTGCAAAAATGCTAAAAGATCATTTCGTATTTCAAACACTCTTGACAGAACTTTTCCCCGAGACAACCACCGCATCTCAGAATGTCGTAACACTTGCTTATGATCAGCTTCCATATTATCACATAATAAAGAGAACAATCCTGAATTGACTGCATTAGATTTTATATAATTTACAATTTTTACCACCTCAGTAAGCATACTATACAGTTCAGCTGGTATTTTTTTCATAGCAAGACT